GTCATCAACACTTGGAAACAAGTATGGGGCGAAGATGCCGACGAGTGGGTGCTGATTCGAGGGGTCTGGGGTGACCGGCTCATGTCCAACCAGGTTTCGCCCAGGTCGCTGGCTCGACTTGCCTAAAGCTTACAACGCGACATTTTCCCAATTCTCATTTATCGCCGGCCCCCATGGTTGTATCGGCAAAACAATGGCAGTAAGTGAGATGAAGGCGGTTATAAGGTGAGCAAAATCCAGGACCCGAACACTGGTCCTGATCCGTTCGTAGTGCCTTGGTCTATAATTTTGAGTTCAGTCCTGCGTACTCGGGACAGATCGCGCATCCAGCAGCCGCTATCACAATGAGTGAGTCTCGAGTCTGTCTCTCTGTCTATCTCACTGGATTGTTCAGAACCTTCTGACAATATGCCGCTGCGCGTTCGACGCATCCGTCATTGATGTTGACTATATTATCCTCTATATCGACGTCTTGTATCAATCTCGCATGTGAAATACATAATTTTAGCTTGGACTTTCCCTAAGTTTCAAAAATGGGCAATCCGTCAATCATGTCTGGTTGGTGACAAGCCACAAGACAAAGGACGCTGATATGTTTGAGAACGCTGAACTGTCGAAACTGTCAAAGCAGTTGGATCTGATCGCCAATCAAATGGGCTTGGGAACCCCTTTCCTTGTTCCTTGCAGTCGCTCGTTAGGTCGCTCTCGCCGCTTATCTATTTGATACAGCCGCTCACTCAAGTCTCTTGAGTCGGTATTTCTGACATCGAGTCAGGTCCGCTTGCTTGCCGACATCTGTCATGAATCACCGCTTTCGGACCTAACTGAACAGAGGCACGTTCGTGCTTGGAATCCCTTTCCGACCGATACTATAGTAGGCTGTGTCACCCGCTTGTGACTGGATCAGCCTTATAGGCCCTGAGGCCATGGGAAGAGATTTCTTGTCGCATCTCATTCACCCACATCCCTCGTATTCCCTTTTGTGCTCGGGGCCTTGGCAGCAATGGGTAATTGCATGTCCAATGTATGCCTCAGCACTGCCGTGCAAAATCTGCGCTCACACGACCACCCAGACAGGGAACTTTGAGCCTCCCGGCTCTAAAGCATTGCGAGACTATGTACAAGAATTCGACGATAGGGTAGATCCGAATAAGCGGGAGCTCATGAGGCTGCGACAGCTCGAGAAACAACAACTGAATCTGACGGACACCTTCACTCGTGCGCCGTACTTAGAGTTCCGCCTCTCTCGTACTAACTGGCAGCTGGAACAGCGCCTGCTGCTCCACCACCCAAGCCTAAGGGTCCGAAATGTTCTGTGTGCTTCAAGCATATCCAGGTTTCCGTCAATCCATGGCAACTTGCCAAGACGTGCGTTACAACTCCGGAACTTTGCCGGACACGTCGTAACTCACTGCACAGTGAACGCATGATGGCGGAGCTCTCGGATGACTCTGGCGACGAGGAGGAAGGTGATCGACAACCCCGCGTACCCCGCAAGCCTGTTCTCCATGGAATGCAACTTGCAACTTGCAAGCACTACTTCTGTGGGGTGAGTCTCGTGCGGTCCCTCGAATGTTTACGCGCCGACACCCCACGCCATGTAGGCATGTCTGGCTCAAGCGATATACCATCGCCTCAACATAGCCTTTGATCCTGCGCTCTATGGGACGGCATTGAAAGAGAACAAGCTCGCGGAACCAGGTAGACGCGCAGACTTTCCGATATCATGTCCCGTACGTTGCATCTATCCATCACGCCTGCCCGAATACGTATCATGATTGAGATACGTGGTAGACGTGTCAAGTCAAGCCTGGGGAAGAGGCCGTCGAAATCAGCGACGTAACGGCTCGTCTGGTGTTGGGCCAAGACAATATGGACGAGTGGAATCACGCGCGGTTCTTGTCCTCGCTGAATCTCATTTATTGGTGCGTCATCTCTCTCGTGTTTGGAACTACGAACTTCCATCTCTGCAAGCCCGCATAAAGGATGCGACGAGTGTTTCGATGCGGATGATGTGGCCCCTGCTCCCAGCGGTGTGGAACATGCTGATACGTTGGTCCAAGTTCGTCTTGATCATCTGCGTGCCAGGTCAAAATCTCATCAAATGTGACCTTAGTGCCCACGCTGTCGAGGCTCACTTTGCAAGGCTTGCAAGTCTTTGTGGCACGAGAGTGAGCTCAACTTGCACCATCTCGGTCATGGGTTTTGTACTTACTCGCATCGCAGATTTGACGTGCCAGGCGTATCAAGCATTGCCAATCGCAGAGCGTGCTCCCGAGGACATCGCATTCGCCAATCTGGCCGAGCAGGAAAAGTGGCGACGTTGTCCAAAAGTATGCCGTGTCTTTCCCTCGCTCTCAAGCTGACAGGATGCACAGTGCTCGGCTATGGTCGAGCTCAAGGTGCGGTGCCTTCCACTGATTATAACATTCCTTCTGACTGACGTCTTGCTTAGTTCGGCTGCAAGTATGTTTCCTATCCTTTGCTGATGTATAGCTGCTGAACTGCCTCCCAGTCATATCACTTGCATCTGCAAACACCACGTACGTCTCCCGGCGTCGAATAATGAAGGGCGCTGACTCGTATGAAACAGTTCTGCTACACTTGTGGCGCTGACTTTGAACACGACAAAGGGAAATATCGTTGTAAAGGAGGTAAGGCGACTTTTGTCCTTCTTCTTTGTGCTCCTTCTTGAAGTCTCCAGGTGTGGGATGCAAGGTGTGGGAGGAACAGAATCTTCTCGAAGTCAGAGAACGCCGCTGATTCAATCTTTACATTGATCCATCTCGCGCTGACCATCTCGGATCCACTCCTTATCTGTCTGTAACATCTGCCGATATCTTATGCACTGCCTATACTACCATTCGACCTACCTGTACTCATCCAACTGTACAAAACATTTCATGGCGGCTGTGCCGGATGACATATTATGTCATTGTTTCTTCTCTGCCAGTCCCCTATTTGGTCGAAGTCGGGTCTTGGGCCTTGAAACCTCAACAGACACAAAACATACCACCGGGGACATTCGCCGCTCGCCGCGGCCCGTCCATCCCCACGTTCTTGACCCGGTGTCACCGTCAGGTGAAATTACGAGACTAGTGGCTTTATCAGGGCAGTGCACGTTCGTGGGCGGCAGAGATTATCAGCCTCTTCCGCCCCGCCACCTAAGATTTCGATGATCTTAGACCAGCACGGGAGGCGATCACTGTCTCTCCCTCCCCGGAATCTCTAACCTTGTCGCGATGTTGAAGAGGTACAAGGCCTTCATGAAGAATGTGTGTCCGGTGACAATGACGCATGCTGTTGTTACTGAAGATCAATCCAACAGGAAGGTCACTTTGCTCCCCCAGGCGCGCAAGCCTTGCAAGACTTTGTCAGTGTCTATGATCAACAGCGCCAATGGGTGCGCCAGACGCAGGCGGCCCTCGTCGAGAAGCAACGCGTTTTGACAGAAGAAGAAGAAGCACAACAAGCAGAGGCTCGTGCAGTTTTGGAAGCCTTGGGAAGAGAGAGCGAAGATACACTTCGGGGCACGCAAGATTCGGGGTCGTCTGTTAGCGGTACGTCCCAACCAGCCGTGCAGCGTATCCTGGCCTCATAATCCATCGCTCAGTCGACTGCACGCCCGAGAAGAAATCAAGTTTGCCAAAATGCCGTCTTTGTATGGAACCGTGCACGATCTGCCCCAATCCCTGGCAGCGCACTCGGAGGTCGATTCGAGACAGTCCCAACTTTCGACACATCTCATTCTTGAATAGCCCAAATGTGTCGCCCATCTCCGAGCACAGGCTTTCGGACAGCATTCCATTCGGAATTGCTCTCGAACCGTGCCGACATGTACATTGTGGGGTCAGTCGAGCGCTGATCCTAATGGGAATCTGCTGATTGGTCCCCAGGCCTGCCTTGCACAGGCAATATATCACGGCCTGAACATGGCATTTGATCCCGCAATGTACGGGACCAACCTCCCGTCGTATGCACCGGAGGTGCCGCGAGTGGGGAATCCTGAGTTTCCCATCCCTTGTCCTGTGAGTGCCTTGCATGTCTCGAATGGATTGGAAGCTGACGAGGCGGCCGAAGACTTGTCAGTCCAAACAAGCGGGATGCCTGAGTCTCATCAACGATGCGGTAGCGCGAGTAGTGCTGGGCGAGTCTAATATGGACGAGTGGAACCACGCCCAGTTCCTTGCTTCTCTCCGTGTCATGCAATGGTCTGTTTTCGTTTCCTGCTTTCACACGGAGCTCGAATACATGGATTACAGTGCATATGATGGCTGCAAAAAGCCATTCGATAGCCAGGAAGCGCCGACTGTGGGCGGCGTTTCCCCGCAGAGGACCTGCATACGATGTCCTCACTGTGATCGATTGCTCTGCAGGTCATGCAAATCTGTTTGGCACCCGGGTAGGCTTTCCTCCTGCGATTCCATGTCCGTTATCTGGAACAAATTCCCAGACTTTTCTTGCATCTCTTATCAAGCGTCGCCGGCATCTTCTCCCACGCAGTATTGGAATTTATCTCCTCACTCCTGGTGAGCATTTCCAATATGAGCCCAGTCAAAACAACACGCCAACATTCACCAGCGGAGGAACAGCCAGCCCTCAAGTATCCCCGTGGACATCTGCAACTCAAATCCATTCGCCATAATGCCCTGCGTTCGTCTTGTACTTGTAACTGACTGTATCCATATCTATTCTCTGTTGTATGTCAGAATCCAAATGTACTCGTGATCTAGCTTTCCGCAGGTTGAGCTGGGGAGACTTTCCGGTTCCCGCCTACCCACCTACCTACCTACCGACCTGCCATGCAAATTAGTCTCCATGAAGCTCAACTCGCGGGTGTCTCGTGACGTGGTCAAAACTCAGGCTACTGCCGTAATTTAAAAACTGACAATCAAGGATCGTCTGTCACACGAAGAATGATATGTCTAGGATGCTGTCAGGTTTCCCATATTCAGTACACTTTCTTTCTTCCGTTTCAACACATGCGTAGCCCGAATGGCACACCTCTTGTACGCATTCGCTTGATCGTACTTATCGTTCTCGCGAGTTCTATCACATTCTATATCGGCCAATTGTCCTCCACTCCTTTATCCAAACACTCTTTGCCTGAGCCCGAATGCTTCGTTCCTTCAGAGCGAACTGCGCATACACACATGCACGCCATTCAACCCATTCATGTGCCCGTAACCGTTACAAAACTGCAGACCTTGACGACCACCCCATCCACTCTCCGCAAGTCACTGTAACAGCCGTGCCGGAAACGGTTGCACCTGTAGAAGAGGACTACGTTTTGGTTAATGGGGCTCCCACTGCATCGTTCAAAGGTGATAATTCACTGGATTCCCAAATTCAAAACACCGTGGACTGACGTCTAGACGTACAGATAACTTGCGTGCCGACGTCAAATACATATTGTCGTTCCCTGGAAGTGGATTCAGTTGCGGCGTTTTCTTCTGCGGCTCTTTTCAGTATGCTGACCATTTGTAGCTAACGATGTGATGCTATATGTGCGTGTCATAACTCCTTCCATCTCGTTACTCTCCGGTCCTCAATCTCCTGAAGATGAATCTAATCTATCTGTCTATAACAACGAGCGCGTCCCGGTCATCCCTTACTTCGTCCCGACCCATGTCGGTCAGTCCGAAACGGGTCCTGTTATGCTTTCGGGGATGTTCGATGTGGCGAGATGGAGAAGGCATTAGGAACCGATTCTCGAGTGGGGAGATATCAAAGTGAGCAACGATCCCTCTCACGTCGTGCTCGTCGTCAACCCCCAAGCACAGGATCTTGGGAGTACAAAGATCGACACCTTGGGCTGCTGGAATGTCTGGGAAGCTGTCCTCGCCGGCAAACAGACCACATTGGACCCTAGCCCCGAAAGAATGAAGCTCGGTATGAACCTGGTTATTGGTCTATGGAATTCGTTCGAATATTTTTTTAGACATCTCGTATACAACGGCACCCGAATCGATCAAGCTGTACCCTGGCAATCCCCAGAGTACAGATATGCGATTCGCTTCTCTCATGTCGCTCGGGTTTCCCGACAACGCAATGAACATCTGACCACGCCGGTCAGGTCACCTCTGTTGCATGCCTCACTCCCGCCGGATGAGCAGCTGTTATGTTTTGATAATCTTTATTGGGCAACCAATCTCGAGGTAATGTCCGTCGGTCTTTTTGAAGAATCTTGCTAAGCGATGCCCACAGCCTCACGAAATGGAACACGATTACAGCACTGCTTGGAGATTCGTCGGGCGGCATCTTCACTGGAACCCTCGCATTGAAGCCCTCGCAGCCCGATATGTCAGGCGGACATTAGGTCTTGCGCGTGCAAGGCCGATTCCTCCGCATCTCGGTTCATGCGAGACGGGGGGACTTTGTCAATTGGTGCGAGGTGCCCGATCGGGAGGACCTGCTTCGCGCCGGTCTCTGTAATTGCCCGTCGCGTTGCCGAGATTCGGCAACGGCTTTGGCGGACGAAGGGGATCGAGGTACAACACGTGATCATGACCAGCGACGAGACCGACGAATCCTGGTGGCGCCAGGTACAGGCTCAAGGCTGGGACCGTGTCGATCACTCGTGGACCAGTGAAATACATGGAGCTTGGTTCCCCGTATTCATTGATGCAGCTATCCAGTCTGCGAGCACAGGTTTTGTTGGCACAGATCGTTCGACCGTCTCTTTGCTTTCTGCTCATCGGGTTAGAGAGTGGCAAGGCGGCCCCACTCAAATGTTTCGCTGGGGAAAGCCCGGGGCGGACGACCACGAAGATATCTGATTATGTATGCTTTGTTATCTTGTAACTCCTTACTGACCATCTGATCTCAATCACTCAATCCTGGCTTCCGCTCTCCAAGCATCTTCGAATCAAGGAAAAGGAGCGCT